AGAGCGTCAGGCCCTTTTGCAAAGGCCTGGTGGTGCTAGCAGTAAGAATGATGTGCCTCTAAGCCAGTAACTGTATTTAAGTTGCGAGCTCTTAGAGGCAGAGACTAGCCCTCTAAGGACAGTTGCTAGGCTGAACCCATTCCCATGATTTAGGTTTACAGGTGAGGCAGGAATTAAAATAAATATATGAATTAAGACGTTGTAGGAACATAATTATAAGGAAATCAGCTTACTGCAGGGGCGCAGACAGAGAGAGGTAGCTTGCATCCCCGAGAAGGCATGTCACAGTGCTGCACCGTGGAGGCTGTTGGCACGCCCGGTTTATCTCTGCTGACAGCCCTCTGGAGTACTTTGAGGTCACAGAGTGTTGGGCTCTTCTGCTCTCTCCAGCAAAGTGATTTCTGTAGTGGGCAAAAGATGAGAGGTGTTGGGCTGAAGCACTGTGGAGAAATCCATCCTTCATTCATACACACCCCAATGGGCATGCACTAAGGCAGCAAGGCTTACTGAGCTGCAGAGAGCTGCACTGCCAGGGGTATCTCAGCAAAGACCTCCTGGGATCTTTCCTGCTCTCTGACTAAAGCAGGCCTGTGGCTTCCTTTGCCTTAAGGAGAGGCAGAGCTCTTCCTAGACTGGTGGGTGATGTGGGGAGCTGAAGTCTCAGCGCTGGCAGTGGGAACAACGGCCCCTTGTCATTTTCCCTGTGAGCCAAAGATAGGAGCTGCATTGATCCTGCTGGCATCCAAAGCAGCTGGGAACATCCGCCAAGCCTGTCTGGGACTCTGCAGATAAACAGCACGTGGGGACCAGGGCGGGTGGCTGGGCAGTTTGGCTTCTTGCTGCCCCATTAGGCTCCTTTTCTTCTTCTCCCCTTCCCCCTCCTCCTCAGCAGTGTGTTCAAATCCCCCAGACAGCTACTGGGCACCGCTGAAGGGACCAGCCCAGGAGTGGGACAATAAAATCCCTGACACCACTGTTCAAGAGACCTCGGGGAGGGGGGTAGGGGGGGAAGGCCAGGCCAGCTGCACGGGTATAAAGCTGTCCTGCGCTCCTGGCACAGCACTGCAGCACAGTTGTTTGCCAGGCTCCTCCAGCGCACTCCAATGGATATCACCATTCATAACCCCCTGATCCGCCGACCCCTGTTATCTTGGTTGGCACCGAGTCGTATCTTTGACCAGATTTTCGGAGAGCACCTGCAGGAGTCAGAGCTGCTCCCTGCTTCCCCCAGCCTCAGTCCCTTCCTGATGAGATCCCCCATTCTTCGGATGCCCAGTTGGCTAGAGGCAGGACTCTCTGAGGTAATCTTCCCTTCTTAATGCTCTTTGTTATTGCTGTGTGCACATCCTGATGGGTCTGGAGCTGGAGACCCTTGAGAGCTGAGAGCTTGGAAGCTGCTTGTAGGCGGTCATTAGGAAATGCCGGGGAAAAGGGTGCTGCGTTTGTGCCTCTGCTCCTCTGCATTAGGCAAGAACCTCTGCATGCTCTGCTAAGCATTTGTGACTGAGAGCAAGTATTGTCATAGCGTTAGGAATAGAGGCAAAGTGAGTGGAGTGTGTGCGGCAAATGACTGTAAGAGATGACCGAAGAAAGGAGGAAGCCTCATTTCCCTGTCTGCTGTGCAAAACTTTCAATCCCACTCCCTCCTGAGAAGCAAACAACACAGGGTAGTGGGCAGGAGTATTGGGATCCTGACGTCAGGCAGTGTGGGAGCTCATGGCGGCTGAGGCAAAAAGGGGTCTATTTTAAAGAATCACTGCTGAGAAGAACAGCATTTTAAGTAAGATACAGGACCCAAAAGATTGTGAAGTAAGCAGCCGTCTGCTTGCTTCAGGGGCTGAGCCGAGGCACACAGTTCAAACAACCTCGCCTGTTCTGTGAGTCAACTGTCTTATTTACAAGTAACTTGTAGAGCTATTCTAAGCCAAAGGAGTGAGAGGAAAGTATTCTTTTAATCTTCGCATAATATTTTCCTTGGTTTAGTGACCTGGGTCTGGCTGTCCACTGAAGCAGCCATAATAAGCACCACTGATAACAACATCTGACTATCTCAGTGGATAAATCTTCACAAATAATCTAGAAGGAGGAGGAAGCACTTAGGCTGTCAGATCAAACTGCAGGAACCAGTAGGTGTAAAGCTGGCACAGAGGCTGCCTCCACATCCCAGAGCGGAGCTCCAGGAGGCTTGCATGCTCCCTGAACACAAATGCAGCAGGAAGGCAGAGACAGTCAGCCGAAATAGCAAAGTCCCACAAATGTGTCCAAGACAGGCAGAAAATGCAAATTCAACCTCAGGAAGCAGCAAAAAGCAGTATTTGAAAGAGACGACAAAGTGCAAAACAGAAGGGAAGGAGGTGAGATTAAGAGCAGGTGACTCAGAGTTTCGGCAGACATACTGCTGTTCAGATAACAGGTGAGCAGTGAGGCAGTACTGCTCACCAGTGACACATTAGTTTGGTTACTAAAGAGTGATGATGCATGGGTAAGCCTGCTAGCCTGCAGATGAGCTCCAGTGAGCTACACAGTCAGGGTTTCTTTTGCTCGCAAGACTGCAAAACCTAACCACAGAAACTGGAAACCTCCAGATGTTCTGTAACAAGCATCAGGTGCGAAACCTGTATGCCAACTGGAGTCAGTTTTAACAAACTCAGATTAAGAGAATCTCTTCCTCACTCCCAAGGAAAACATTTATCCTATGTAATCAAGTGAAAGCATTCACATTTTAGATGCTGTAGTGATGGGCATTAGTGTAAAAGGCCAGCAAGGGACAAAGCCGCAGAGATCAGAATCCCAGGAACAAATGACAGTGCACATGTAGATACCAGCTAGTCTTGAACTGCTATATTCTGAGAGCCTTTTTAAGTTGAAACCCTCACCTGCTCTTTTCTGAAGTCGCTTCTTTGTTTTGCAGATGCGACTGGAGAAAGACAAATTTTCTGTAAATCTTGATGTGAAGCATTTCTCGCCTGAGGAGCTAAAAGTGAAGGTGCTTGGGGACATGATAGAAATTCACGGGAAACATGATGAGCGCCAGGTACTTCTACTTTAACTGTGGACAGATAGAATCAGTGTGAACTTCCTCATCTATGTTTAAACAAGGAGGCTGCAAAACAATCCTGTCCTTGTGCTCATCTCAAATACCTCTAATGTTTTTTATCCACCAGTCCTAATGGAAGATACTCTGGGCAACCCCCCCCCCCGCTGATCCCAGACTGGGCAGCAACAGGGTGGAGATTTATTGCTGACGTTACATGAACCCTGAACTGAACTGGAAAATCATCTTTGAAATGGGCATTTCTGGGTCTCCCTCTTTCTGGGAAGAGGCCAGGAATGCAGGGAGGCATTCAATAGGCTAACAACGAACTGTAATAATTAAACCATATAACGAATGAGTGCATTTCCCTGTTCTGTTACTGTGAGGCTACCTCTTCCTGAAAAAGGCCCATCTATCAGTTTGCAGTCCTTAAATGTTGTATTCTGCTGTCAGTCATCCCTCTGCTTGCTGGCTCTGGAGACGTGTGTGGCAACTGGGCAGACAGAAATCAAAACCCATGTCCAAAGCTGTATGTAACAGGGTTTGCCAGACCCCATCTCCGTCACACCCCCCAACCCTGCCTCCTCACCAGAAGAAAATGAATAAAGTAGCTATGTCATTGGAATTGTCAGCTCTAAGAGCTTCTAGGAGCACAGATCTGTCAGTCAGGAAAAACAGCACTCCTTACAGCTGATGGAAGCCTCTAATCCTGACATAGCTTCTGCAGTATTTTTTGGCTAAGAAAATAATCAAGCACTATACCAGAGCTCGGCTCACTAGACAGCTGTGTATTACCAGAGCTCTGGAGACCCTCAGGAACAGGTGTGGTTGGCACTACAGGCAGGTCTAGCTGCTGCATCTTAGGAATGACAGCACACTACTGTGCAATGAAGCCAGTCTCTGGCTAGCACAAGAGCTGGAACATAAAGTCTCCTCCTGTAACCAGTGTACCTGAAGGCACCTGCAGCCTAGGCAGGGCAGCGTCTCACTTCAGCCAGTCTTGGCACTTTAAAAAGGGCATCTCATAATAAAAACTCTTTCAACTTTCTGAAAGGTTTTCCTTTCAGAGCTGGAGCTTCCTGATCTCAAACTTTATGCGAAGGGCTCACGGTTCAGGTGGAACTGAGTGAACATTTCTAATCAGGGCTGTTCCTTCTCTTCTCCTTTTGAAGGATGAGCACGGCTTTATTGCCAGGGAGTTCAACAGGAAATACAGGATTCCAGATGATGTGGACCCTCTGACCATAACCTCATCACTCTCTCTGGATGGAGTCCTGACTGTGAGCGCACCGAGGAAACAAAGTGACGTCCCTGAGCGCACTATCCCTATCACCCGTGAAGAGAAGCCTGCCATTGCAGGAGCCCAAAGGAAGTAGGCTGCTATTTAAAGCCACCCCGGGGGGCCATTCAAGAGCACTTTTCATCAGATGCCAACTATACTGAATGGCTACTCTTATTATTTATGCTGAGTAAGTTTACTAACAAATAAAACATGAATAAGCAGTTTGTATTTTTTTTGTTTTGAGCACTGAGGACAAGGGAAGTGTTGGGTCAAGAAAGCTGTGTAAGGTTGCTGTGCAGGGAAACATACCTGGCATCATTCTTGCTTACAGCTTGAGTGGCAGGTGTGTCCAGGAGAGCTTGTCCTGATGTTCAGAAACACTTTACTAGTTTCACTTCGTGTACTCTAATGTTTTGCAAACATCTAATTGCATAAGCCTTTTCCTTCAATGTGGCCAGAGGATTTCAGAGTGTTTCACAAGCAACACAAAAGTTTCTCCAGTGGAGATTAGACTGGTAAAACAACTTCATGACAATTGAAACCAATTCGAAGTGTGGCTATTAGATAATAACTGAATGGAAGACAACTGTATCTTAAATCTCTAGAATGACTCACGGAGAAGCATCCAAGTGCTGCAACCAATTCAGAGTAGTTGCAGATGAAAACTGCATAGCTGCAGTAAACACATACATTTCCAGACAGAAGAACGTCCTGCTCTCATGTTGCAAATCACATCACTTTGAAACTGTGCTGTCAGTGCCTTTCAAACAATGAACAGGATCTGACGTCTACAGTACTAATCTGATTTATGCTAACACTGTTGAGTGGTACAAAACACTACTAAGGCGTTCTCAGGTGTCATCATCTGTTTAATTTTCAAAGGGATATGAGCATAAAGGAGAGTCTGTATTACTGGGATTTAATTTCTAAAATTCATGTCCAAAAAGGACAGAATGTCATGGATCTGTCGCACAGATCACCAGAGTCAGTTATGACCTGACCGATTTTCTATGTTCCTTATACCTGCTCAGATTAAAGTTATATTAGAAACTATCAGTTTAAATCTCAAAAGAACTGGAGGACATCCTTCTTCCATGGCTTTAAGTGATGAAAATAAAATGAGCGCTCAGTGATGTGGGGGGCATTGTCAAATACCCCAAATCCCAGCTACTTGCCAAGGTCTAGTGTTTCCTATCAGCTGGTTCTAATAAGCTCTTCCAGTTAAGGTGTTAGTTGGGCTTGACTGACAAGGTGCAGGGTGACTGGTGACTTGCAGTCAGTCCCCTCTGCACACACAGCAAACGACGGAAACACACGCAGGTTACAAGCAGCACAGCTGAGAAAGCAGGCAGAACATTTTTCACGTGATGCTACGTTTGGCTTTAATGTCTGGCAGGTCTTTTTGCTTGAAGGATATCCTTGTAGCACTGCTAGCAGACAGGCCTCCTGTTTTTCTGAAGGCACAGTCTGCAGATTATCTCAATTTCTGTTGCTTTTCCTGCATCCTTCTTTTTCCTTCTCTGAGTGTTGGACACAAGGAAAGAAAATGCTGTCATATGGAGACCTGTGGTCTATTGTGTAGCAGGACTGAGCAGTTGGGTTGAATGAAGGAGGTTCCAACTCAGGGTGGTGGCCTGGAAACCAATGAGGTTCTCATTCAAATCCTAAAAGAATAAACACAAAAAACCTTGAGAAAGTAAATGCGAAATAGTAAGAAAATATCCAGAAAGTACAACTGAGGGAATTTTTTCTATAGAGCTGGGTTTTGTTAGGCTCAAACTCAGGAGCAAGAAATGGGAATTTTGAGTGAGAGCTCATTGTGGATAAAGGTGATGAGGTTAGCTAGACAGCAACACTTGAAATGCAAATACCACTCCCTGAATGACTCGAAAGACCTGTTTCGTGGAGGCACAGGAGCACAACTCAACAATGAGAAAATGACAGAAAACAATTCTGTCATCTCTAAGCACAAATGCCATTCAGAACCTCCTCTTCAGCTACACTACAGATCCAACAGACTATGTTTCAGTTCTGTGCGCATACTCTTTATTCTCTGATGCTTTCCCTTGTAATCTGAAGAGTATGTTGTTTCAAAGCAGTGACTATACTGAAAAGAAAAACTCCCACTTAGCATGGCTAAATATAAGTAAAAAGCTTTTAACGTTTTCTGTCTTACAGGAAGACCAAAGTACCTGCAATTGCACTGCGACTTTCAAATCAGTCTAACCGAAGATCACAAAGCTTCGGTGATGACTTTTAATTCACCATCTGAACAGCAAAGGAAAGAGAGCTGGACTGGGGCCACTGTTACGGGTAGTAAGACTGAGTTTAAGCAAAACAGCATTCCTCATATCCTTACTCCTGTAGTGGAACTGTTGTAGGGCACTCATCAGAGAAAAGGGTGCTGACTGCTGCCTTTCTGCATTTTTAAAAAGCAGTAGAAAAGACTAGGAGCAGGGCTGCAGAAAGGGAAGCTACTCATGGGAGGCTTACCTCTGGTGCATCTCTAGCTGGGGATGGAAGAGATAATGCCCTGTGTGCATGACAAATTAAGTGACCAGTGATCATCTCAACTGAGATATGCTATATCCACAACAAGGAAAAGCACAAGGACATACCTGGGAAAGGAAGTGGCCTGGGCTTGCTTGCTCTGGATATCCTATCGCCCTTCATTCCAGTTCCCCATAAGGGTTTTCTCTGAGTAATCGTTTTCATTGGTGGTGCACCTCCAGCCATACTGGGAAAAGTGCTGTCCCAATCCATCCACAGTTCCCCATGGCCAGTAGCACGCATTAAGGAGCCATGGAGGGAGGTGTACAAACAGATCTTGGACATGATCTAGCAATAGAAATCAGCAACTCCCTAGGATCAGCTTGGATCTCAACAGCACGTAACATGGTATGGAATGCTGTCCCTTCCACACTTCTGGTGATTGGAGAGGGACCTCCTATCCTTCCACATGTGACAGAGGGTACCAGAGAAGAACTGTGTTCCTTCTTGATGCGAAAAAGCTTTTTTTTTTTTTTTTTTT